TACGGGATCTCACACTTTCCGATAGAGAATCTCTCGAAAGTTTTACTAATTGAGCTTGTGACCTTTGGCCTCAATTATATCCAACCTTAATTTTCCCCATAATGCACGTAAATAGTAAATACATAGCAAGGGGAGATAACACAGAGAATAGAGATGCCAACAAGGATCCCATATATAATTCAGTGAGAACTTTACGAAGTCTGCTTTGTACCCTATTTTGGCCTACTTTGGCTTTGGGTTTTGATTATTTGATCATCCCGATAGACTAGATGAAGTACAATTATATTGAGTCAAATGTAAACGTTCTAAACGACCTAACGTAGCAAAATATATAGCTAAAACACCTTTATAGTACTTTGATTTAGTAGCAATTAGGAGAAGAGTTCTATAAATAATCTCTTGAACATCCAAATTTAGAATCATATCTAAGTCCATTCTTGAATCAGCTCCTAATTACTTCTGAAATTGGAATAATTATGTTCTCTCCTCCAATAGTATAACTTGTTATCCTCTGAAAATTTGAAAAACAAAGAGTAGAGAACAAGCACACAATGAGTTATGTGGTTTCCCAAAAAAACATAATGTTGTACTGGAGTGATTGCACTTTGTTGCAGTACCACCTCAGCTGGGACAAACTCAAACTACATGTGTCTTGTTGTTGAAAAAATAAAGCCTGCAGTTGAAGAAATGGAAAATGCAAGGGAAGTGAAGTGCATGACAACTTGGAAGTGATGATCTGGGTTGTGTGAAGTAAAGAACAAGTGACCTAGAGCTAGATTGCGGCCAAGTCACTTCTGTTGGGACCACAACTGAGGGTATTAGTGCCAATGCCCCTGTTGGAATTGGTAGGAGACAAGGAAAGCGACTGCTGTACTTGCTCCAGCCTTTGTTTTGTTTGTTTATGCTTGTTGTTTCCTAGTAAAACATGTCTAGGGTTTGATGTCGCGCCTATAAAAGGCTTGTTATTTTTTCAGTTGATGTATTGTGAGTGAAATGGCATTGAAATGCAATGGAAATGAGATCTGAAGCATAAAAGTTCAGATATTGTCCAAGCAGCTATGTTTTTCTTGTTACTATTACATTGGTTTCTTAGTTCTGAAGTTAGTTTTATGTATGTTATTTTTCTACACTTGGTATCAAAGCTCGCAATGATCTTTGTTGAAGGCTTGTGAGTTTTTTTGGACTGAATCTGTGAGGTTTTAAGAGGGTTGTGTGTTCTCTTCTTCTTCTTGATCTCATCCAGTTTAGAAGCACATACAAAGATGGCTTCTTCTGGCCTTACTCTCACCACTCCCCCTGTCTTCAATGGGAGCAACAACCAAATGTGGGTTGTAAAGATGAATACTTTTGTGATGGGGTGTAATATTCGGGAGCCTGTAACAGAAAGAAAAGTAGATCCACTACCTTGAGATGCATCACCAATCAGTAAACAAGGCATGTTGAAGAGGTTGCAGAGACTCATAGAGCACTTACTTGCATCTTTGCTGCTGTAACAGAAGAGGTCTTCTCAAGGATTATGACCTGCACCACTGCTAAGCTTGGGACAAATTTAAAGAGGAGTACCAAGGGTCTGGCAAAGGTAAGCATATGGTTGTTCTTAACTTGAGAAGATAGTTAGAAAGTTTCAAGATGAAAGAAACTGAGTATGTTAAGGAGTTGGTCTCAACTTTGGAAGAAACAACAGATCCTACCACTATCACCATCGCCCAAGTCATCAACTCACTACAAGCTACTAAGATGAGAAGCTCTATCAGAAATGAGGACCAATCGGAGGAAGCTCTAGTTGCTAAACAACAGAAGGTCATACCTAAGAAGAAAAAAGGAAAGGAGGAGCGGGTTGAGAAGCCTACTGAGAAGAAGGTCCTTTCTCCCCTCCCACACTGTAAGAAAACTACTCATTCTGAGAAGTTTTGTTGGTATAGACCTAATGTCCAATGCAAGGCTTGTATGAGAATGGGTCATGTTGAGAAGGTGTGTAAGAACAAGAGCATTAGAGAGCAAGTTGATATTATTGAGGCCAATGAGCAGAAGAAACTAAAGGAATGTTCATATGGTCACTTGCTACATGGAAAATAGCTGGCTTCTAGACACTGGATGTACAACCCATATGACTCATAATGAGGAGTATTTTCATATTCTAGAAAAGTATTATAAGTCAAGAGTGAAGATTGGAAATGGAGACATGCTTTCTGTTGAATGAAAAGGCTCAGTATCTATGCAAACTGACTTTGGATAAAAGGTAATCTTTGAAGTTGTCTATGTTACTGCACTAGCTCATAATTTGCTTAGTGTAGGTCAAATGTTAGAGGAGGGATATTTTGTAGAGTTACAAAACAAGAAATGTATGGTGTTTGATCCCAATGGAGATAAGCTATTTGAGATTCTGATGGTTCAAAGAAGCTTTCCCTTGAAAATGAAGGCTGTTGAGACTGCTTTGGTGGTTAGAAATGATGAGTCTACATTATGTCATAGTAGATTAGGTAATTTCAGCCATAACACTCTGATCAAAATGGCTAACAAGAAAATGGTAAGTGATTTACCTAGTCTGGAACCAGGAGAAGGATTTTGTCCGGCTTGTTAATTACACAAACAACACAGACTGCCATTTCCTAAGAAACAAACTTGGAGAGCTTCTGCAAAACTTGGACTGATTCATACAGACATATGTGGACCCTTTAAAGTGGAATCATGGGGAGGAAGCAAATATTTTATACTTTTCATTGATGACTTAACCAGATTCTGCTGGGTTTACTTCTTGAAGAACAAGTCTGAAGCATTACCAGTATTTCAAAGGTTTTAAGGCTTTTGTTGAGAAGAAAAGTGTTTGTAAAATCAAGACTCTGAGATCTGATAATGCAAAGGAATACACCTCTCAAAGCTTTGCAAAGATTTTAGCTTCTGAAGGTGTACTCCATCAGCAACTGTGAGATATACTCCACAGTAAAATGGAGTAAGTGAAAGAAAGAATAGGCTTGTCATGGAAATGGCAAGATTTCTTGTTTTTTAGAAGAAGATGCCTAAGAAGTTCTGGGCTGAGGCTGTAAATACCTCAGTTTACCTGCTTAATTGACTGACTGTCAGGTCAGTGAAAGACAAAATACCATTTGAGGCCTACAAACCTAGTTTGCACCATCTCATGATCTTTGGCTCAGTGTGTTCTGCACATCATCCATCTTCAAAAAGGGACAAGCTGGATCATAGATCAGAACTGGAAATCCAGGTGGGCTATAGTAGTGAATCAAAAGCCTGCAGGATCTTCAATCGAACTGCGGAGACGTTCCAGTTAAGCAGGGATATTATCTTTGATTAACATGAAAGTCATAATAACTGGTCCTTGAATGAAGGTGAAACTGAAGACAGTTATGATATGCTCACATTTCAATTTCAAGGTCAGGTTGACTTTGATGATGAATCAGAACCACAGGTTGATCAAGAACAAGAAATTCAAGAGCCTGGTGACCTGGAATCTAACAATGATGACCAAAGTGATGATGAAGACTATGAGTATGATGAAGAACCTCATGTGAGAGGGTTGAGGCCACTTACAGATATCTATGAAGGTGTAATATGAGCATTGAAGAACCTAATACTGTGCATAAAGCTCTAAAACAAAATGGATGGAATGCTGCAATGAAGAAGGAGTTCAGAATGATTGTGAAAAAATGAGATCTGGATCTTGGTTAAAAGACCAGTTGGAAAGAAAGCAATAGGAACCAAATGGGTTTTCAGCGTCAAGTTAAACCCAGATGGTTCTATCAACAAGCTGAAAGCTTGGTTAGTTGTGAAGGGCTATACTCAATAATGGGGAACTAACTATGGAGAGAATTTTTCTCCAGTAGCAAGGTTAGATGCAATCAGACTGTTGTTGGCTATAGCTGCTAAAAAAAAGGAAAGTGCATCAGCTAGATGTCAAGTCTGCCTTCCTGAATGGCTATCTTCAGAAGGAGATATATGTTGAACAACCTGAAGGTTTTGAAGTTCCTGACAAAGAGGACTCAGTTTTCCTATTAAAGAAGGCTCTTTATAACCTGAAGCAAGCTCCAAGAACTTGGTATTCTAGAATTTATGAGTATCTCTTGTAGCTTGGATTTGCCAAAAGTCCTAGTGAACCAACTTAGTATGCGAGGAACAACATTGAAAGAACTGTAATGGTTTCCTTATTATATCGATGATTAAATGGTTACAGGAAGTGATGAAAAGCATATAGAGAAGCTCATGATCAGCATGCTTAAGGAATTTGAAATGACAGATCTTGGACACATGTCTTACTTCCTTGGCATTCAGATTGCTTAGAATGAGGAGGGCATTTTCATAAATGAAAAGAAATATGCCAAAGAGATATTGAAGAAGTTTGAGATGGAGAATGGCAAACATGTTCCAACACCACTCCCTGTACGAATCCAACTCACAAAAGAAGATGGTTTGGGACTATTTGAAGCCAAGGTTTATAGAAGTTTAATTGGGTGCTTGTTGTATCTTTCTGCAACAGACCAGACTTTATGTTTGCCTCTAGTTTGTTAGCCAGATTCATGCAAGCCCCAACTCAAATTCACTACAAGACAGCCAAAAGACTACTGAGGTACATCAAGGGTACCATTGATCATGGATTGATGTTCAAAAGTGGAAAGGAAGTGTGTTGGAAGGTTACTGTGATTGGGCTGGATCTTTAGAGGACATGAAAAGCACCTCTGGATTACTTTCACATTGATCAAGTGTCTTTTGCTGAAGCTCAAAGAAGCAAAGCATTGTAGCTCAGTCAAAAGCTGAGTACATTGTTGGTTCTGAAGAAGTAAATCATGCAGTTTGGTTAAGAAAACTTGGATTGAATTGGTTGAGATTAGCGATGGCAAATCAATAAGTACCAAAGACTACCAAGTTCACTCCATTCTAGTTCTAAGATAAATTAGGTGATGTTAGTTATTAAAAATCTATAAAATCATTGGCTACCAAATTTACCCATTTTTTTTTAAGCCAGTTCAAGCTTGCGAAGGATTGATAATGGACCGAATTGAAAAAATACATATAGACTTGATTAAACATTCATATTATTATACATTCAATAGAAATTATATATCACCGAAAATCATTGTTGTAAATTGTAATTAATTGCACGGGCCATAGGCCATCACAAATTGTACACAATAAATGAACTAGTCCTGGACAACTAGTTGGAGCTGAGGTCAATCTCATTTCATACTTTTAGGTCTGTAACTCCAAGCCCATATCAGTAACCTGCAAAATAAAAAGAACGCAGTCAGCTAAAGCCCAAAAGTTGGGCTATTCAACCCAAGTTTTAGGCCCAGAAGCGAGGCCCGAAATCATGCCTATTCTTATCCATAACCGACCTCTCTGGAGGTGGCAGAGGCAACCTCTGAGTAAACCAATCAGAAGAAAAAGACTGCAGACCAGCCTCTGAATGGACCAATCGGAAGTTGACACGTGGTGTACGTTTTTGCTATAACTAAAGCTCTTCAGCTCTTGTTTGAGGGGACGAATTCCAGGGAGAAGAAAAACACTTACAAAAATAGAAATATTCACATCTCAAACAAATTTTTTTTGTTCTTGCTCTGAGCAGAAGTTCAGTGGGGGAAACTGGGAGATTGAAGGAGCTGATTTGAAGATCGGCGTAGGAAAATGCCCTTCTTTAATTTTTTTATCAAGTCTATATAATCATTATGATGTTATAATCATCCATCTATTTGCGTATTTATATTCAAGCATTTTACTTTAAAAGCTCCTTTATAATCAAGCACTCTATTTACTAAGATCTGCTCATATCAGTTTCATTAAGCTCTCCCATTGAATTTTCTTTTGCTTATTATTAGCTATGCCAATCTATAAACCGATTTAGATAACTATCATTGGAGTTGGATCCTCTTGTTTTAAATTTCTATCATGTTTAGATTTTCTCTATTTGTTGGGATAGATAGCAAATTATAGTACAACTAAATAACCTACTATTGAAATAAGCAAAAACGACTTTTCAAAAGTCCATTGATCAATTTGGATCCAAATCCAACGTAAATCACCCAAATACAATAAATTTCAGATTTCAAAACCAACAGCAAAGTCCATAATCTAGAAAAATCACAAGCAATAGCAGTGATATATAGCCATATTTAGCGAAATCACGGGCAGAGGCAGTTATTTATATTTTATAGTACCTAATCTAGTAAAATCACAGGCAATCGCTAAAACTAACAATTTACAGCATGTCAATTAAATTTCCATCACGGAAAAAATCTTTTTTTAGCAACTTCTAGCATATCTAGAGCTGGATCCGAAACCATAGATAAAATCCACCAAACACAGAAAACTCCAAAACACATACACAACATATTTCCAAAATCACTGATCTGTAAACCGATTCCAATAATCCAATTTTATGCAAATTCCCTTATCACAATGAGCTGAGTTTTAGAGATCCTTACCCAAATCTGTCCATTCACAGATCTTGTCGAAACAAAAATAGAAGGGTCAATGCCGACCCAAATCCAAGTAAATAAAAATTTTAAAAAAATAAAATTCTCACCTGACGTCGTCGGAACTTTGCCGCCGGAGATCTCGACGACTAAAGAATCCCTCCTCCTCCACCACTCGACCGAAACCCAAAAAAAATATATCAGAACCCAGAAACCAGATAAACAACCATGAAAGGAAAAACAAAAATACATATGAGCCTACCGTTGACCGTTCTTCAGCCTCCGTCGCCGGCGATGTTTTGTCTACCCCCCTTCTTCTTACTAGTTCAAAGAAAAGGAACCCAATAAAATTAGCAGAATCCCATAAAATTCAAAAACAAAATCGAGCAAACCAAACTCACCTTCCTCCTCTCCTGCCATCGACGGATTTCTTCCAGCGACACACTTTTCTCATCCCTAATCCGCCATTAAACCCGAGAATAAGAAGGAAAACTTAAGTCAAATCCTTATTTTCCTAATCAAAACCAATAATCAAAACCAGAAAGCTAACATGCAAACCTCAAATCGTTACTTACCGTCTCAGTGTCCGTCGTCGTCGCTACGACCCTAGGGTTTGATGGAAGGTTAGGAAGAAGTAGATCGAAATAGAAGGGTCCGGATAATATAACAACACCCATAGTGTTGTTATACTAACAACAGGATTCATTAAGGGTATAAGGGTAAAATACTATTAATTATTAGATAAATAATATATTAAATTAACAGAAAGATAATTATGGACAAGGAGCATCCGAACCCGCCTTCGCTGCTGAGTCGCCATCCTCGCTCATCTCCGCCGTCGCACTCTTTAACTTCTCGACCGCCATCATCACTCCGCCGCTTCCAGCCTTCTCATCCTCGCTCATCTCCGCCATTAACAGAAAGATAACTCACCTTAGCAGGTTTCGAGGCGGAACTCCTTCTCGCGATGGGCTTCTCGTCGTCTTCCTCTTCCTTCTTCAATTTGGCGGCGGCCTTCGACCGAACCTGAGAAGAACCCTTCTTTGGCTTAACAGCTCCGTCAAAATCTTCATCGTTGTCGTCCTCGTCTTCGGATGACTCCTTTTTCACTTTCGCCGGCTTGGGCCGAGGTTTGGGGGTTACCGTACCTGCATTCGTCGGATTCTTCCGCCGAGCAAGGACCATGGAGCTCAGACTCCTCTCGTCGTCCTCCGATTCCTGCTTCACTGGCTTCGAATCCTCCGACGGCATTGTTCTTTCCCCCGGCCTAGCAGACTTTGGGATTGGAAGTAGAAGGGTTTCAGTGAAGCTTGATCTCTATGCACTGTGGGAAGATAACAAAGGCAGAAAAGTAAAACCCTTGTGTACTTCGGCTCTGTCCCGAGTTCATCCAAGACGGAAAAAAGTGTCAGATGCAATCACAGACGCTGTCGACAGCCTTGTAAGGGTAATCTTCTTCGGTGTCGATCCCGCCGTTGTTGATGATGAACTGGAAGCCGTAGTCCATGAGACCACCATTGCAGCCCTGGTTATAGGAAGTATCGCAATCAACAAGCTCCTGTTCTGACAGGGTGATCGGCTCGCCAGTGACAATCTGGTTGATCCCTTCTACAGCTCCAACAGTCGAGAATGCCCAGCAACTACCTGTGATTTTGCATCATATAGAAACAGATTTAAGGTTCCATAGCTCAAGTTCTATTCACTTTCCATTAAAACCTAATCCAATCCCAAAAAAAGCTGTAAAACGACAACAGAAAGCAGATGAAGACAAGTTCTATTCACTTTCCATTAAACATAATGACGCCATTTGGCAGAAGTACTTGTTGCTACTGATTGGTCCATCATTCTATTGAATTCCATGATGCATAATAATTACTGATTGCACTAACTTGGTTGAGTAGTAGGAACTTATGTGACCTCAATCATTCATGTATCGTTATAAAAATATTCTAACCACTTTAAATTCTTGTTTGCTATTTGTTTGATTGCTGTCATTGATATTTTTGAATGTCGACATTGAAAGTGTTGGCATATTTTTACAAGTTCGAGTAGTTTCAAGTTCACTTGAAAGCACATCAAAAGTCTTGGAATGCACATCATAAATCTTATAAAACATACTACAAATATCACAAAAGCATACCACAATTATTTAGAAAGCATACCAGAAACCTCTCAATACAGATTATAAATTGCCTAAAACATACTAGAAACACCACAAAGCAAACCACAACTATTTCTAAAACACACCCAAAAACCTCCTAATGCAAACCACAAATACGATAAAACAAACCAGAAACTTCTTAATGCAAACCAGAAACCTCCTAATGCATACCACAAATCTCCTAAAACAAACCAGAAACCTCGCAAAGCAAACCACAAAATTTTCGAAAGCACACCAGAAACTTCTTAATGCAAACCAGAAACATCATAATGCAGACCAAAAATATATTAAAACAAACCAGAAACCTCACAAAGCAAACCACAGAATTTTCAAAAACACACCAAAAACCTCATAATGCAAACCACAAACACGTTAAAGCAAACTACAAAAACAAACCAGAAACCTCCTAATGCATACCACAAATCTCCTAAAACAAACCAGAAACCCCTCAATGCAAACCACAAATTTTTTGAAAACAAACCAGAAACTTCTTAATGTAAACCACAAACACGATAAAGCAAACCACAAAAGGCATACAAAAATATGAGAAACCAAACCATAAATCTCACAATCAGACTATAACATCCGGTGGTCGTTGGCCGTTGACCGGTCAACGAAGACCGTTGACCAAACTCCGGTGACCGTCAGTGATCGGATTCCGGCGCCGATAAGCATATTCCGGCCCCGATGACTAGATTCCGATGCCGGTAAGCATATTCCGACGCCGGTAAGCATATTTCGGCGACGGTGAGCATATTCCGATGGCAAAATAGCATATTCCGGCAACAAAAAAGCATATTCCGGTGACCGGCGACCAGATTCCGGCGACCGGTGGCCGAATTCCGGCGACAAAAAATTTGGGCAGAAAATAAAAAATATTTTTTTTTTATTTTTTTATTTTTTTTATTTAAACAGATTTTTCATAATGACAATTATACCCCTGCTTTGATTTTACACTAGGTCAACTCATCTAATAAAAAGTCATCATAATCCTAGCTTCCTATTGGTTGGAGGCTAGTGTTGTTACAATAACAACACAAAGGGTGTTGTTATAGTATCTAGTCCCGAAATAGAAAAAGGAGGGTGAGAGGTTCATTTTCTTCTTTCTTTTTTTTTTTTTTTTTGTGGCTTGGTCGTTTTTTGGGAAAAGGGAGAGACGGGAGAGAGAAACGAAGGATCTAGAGAGGCGAGAGAGAGAGGATCAGCTACGGCCGCTTTGGCCTTAGGGTTAGGTTAGATTGGGGTTTCATTTGAGATGATTATATACTCGAATTGATAAAAATGACTAAAATGCCCCTAGGGTTTCCCAACTATTACCATCCCTGCCACTGTGTTTTTTGCCATTTATCAAAATACCTTTGTTTGTCTCATTTTTAAAAACTAAAACCATAAAATTATTTCAGCCGAGTTTCAAACTCTAGTCATCCAAGCATACACACATTATCTTTTCATCAGCAATTTATCCAGTTGAGCTAGGCACCCTCCATTCGTTCAGTAGTTACACCCGTAATTATTTTACTTATTATTCTTTAATGCGAAATTTATCCAGATAAGGTTAATCATGTCTCTTTTCTAATACATCAAATTTCTTCTTAATAACTTCAATCCCTTTGTTCACTTTTCATAACTTCATAATAATCAATTTCAATTTCATTAACAAAAATCTTTAATACGAGAACCACAATCAGTGGAACGTGGTAAAAGTTACATTTAAAATTATCAAAGTTTGAACGAACTACATGGACTTTGATCCCATCTAACGGGTACGTAGGCAACCGATGAAGGTTCGAGTCCAACTAACTAATTAACTTTATCTTTAAATGAACTCCGGTAGGCGTATAATAAAATCATAAATTAATATGATGAAACTCGGTCCAGTGGGATCCTATAATTACCAATAATTATTAAATACACCCAACTCGTATAAACTTATCAACCTAAGTAGTACTGATTTAGGGCGTTGTGGGGGTGCTGCTTAACTTTCTCACATGTAACCGTACTCCCGAACTTAGATTTCTATATCGCAGACCAAACCTCGGTTCTCGCCCTAAGGTTAGAGCCGACCGAAGAGTGTTCGATCCACTCCAAGTAAGATCGATGGTGACTCCAAAAAGTGAACGCGACCCAAATCCGGAGGGACGGTTGCGACAAGTAGGGTCCATAACGTGGTTAGCTTTCGGTTAGTAGTGTTAAGCTGTTACTGGTTTTAAGGGCTGTTGTTGTTAACCGTTCCTGACTTCCTGGTTTCATGTTGGATAGGCCGAGTAATTGTGGTAGCTGTTTTTTAACTTCCATTAGTTATACTTGATGTATTTAACCTCTACGATGATCACTGAATAAGATAATCAATTTTTTCCTTCTATTCTGTTTAACATAGTGGTATCAAAGCCTCATAGGAAAAACTCTAAAGTGATTTCGTGTTTTGGTGGCGGTGGCTACCGCCAGCCTTGTGTTGGAAATGTGTATGAATAGCTTTGAAAGCTATAGAGTCTCAAGTGGAAAAACTACAACATTGGTAGTTTTACTTGGTGAAATGAGTATAAAGATAGGAGCCTCTCTCCTAAGGGCATACCCCTTGGGGTGACCCACTTTTGTGGGAGAGGGAGGACCTAACGGACCACCACACACGACCGGTCGGTCGGTCGGATGGATGGATCACTTGAGACTATATACATATTTTTTGGAGAAATTCCGAACGAAATTAATTATTTAATAATAATTAATTATTAATCGGTTATTCTGAGGAATATTCTAAGGGATAATCGATTGGAAAGGAATATTCGAAGGATAATCCCCGCAGGATTTATCCTAACCGACGGTTTTAATTAAGGAAGTAATTATCTTCATTAATTAATCCGACTTATTCCCCAAGCTAGAGGGTATATTCCTAGGGGTTCGGCTCCTATAAATAGCCGCCTCCCCAGCCCCTCTAAACACACCACAACGAGCATAAACACAATAGAGAGAGTGTTCAGAGAGCTCCGGTTTTCGCACAAAACCGCGAGTACACAGAGGAGCTGTTTTATCCTGGAGACGACCGGTTGATAGTCTGTCGTGCGCATCGAGGGCAGTGCCGCGAACGTCTTAAAGAGAGCGACCTGGTCCGCGACTCAGCTCCAGATTCGGTAACCTCGGTCTTGTTGTTGTTCCGTTTCTAACAATTTTAAGACGTTCGGCTGCTGCTATGTCGACTGAACAGAACAACATGGCCGGATCTGGTGCTGTCGATATCAATCGACCGTTTCGCTTCGTTGGAGTCAACTTCCGTCGCTGGAGACAAAAGATGGAGTTCTACCTGACGACCAAGAAGTTGGCACACTGCCTCACCAGCATGCCCGTCGAGCTGTCGGAAGAAGCGACCGATGAGGAGAGGGCTGCTTCTGCTAAGGAAAGGGAGCATGACTTCCTATGCAAGAATTACATCCTCAACGGCCTGGCAGACGACCTCTACGACTACTATGCGGACAGCAAGAACACCGCCATGATGGTCTGGG